TCGTATCTTTTGAACGGGTATACTTATAATAATGAAATTTGGAGGGTGGAAATAAACGGATGTAGGCTTCTCAACTGGTCATAACAGGTGACGCAATAGTCATAAATGACGTCACAAGGCCACTGTGACCAATAATACCCGTTCAAAAGATACGAGGGGGGAGGGGACTTTTGACTAGCACTGTATAATATTATAGAAAAATTCTAACGTTCATCTCCCAATTATGATATTCCATCTCAGAAAGAAGAAATATTTTTCAAAGTGATCGCTGTTCCCTTTCGTACATATCGGTATAGAACGAGGATTAACAAAAATAATTATTCGATAGAAATTTCCAGAACCGGACTTGACCGATGATATTTAGGAATATAGGCCTGACTTTCAATCCATTCCAGGGGTTGAAAATGATTTCCTCATTGCTAATCATCATTGCAACGTCATATGATGACCTTGAAATACGCCAACTGCTCACCTCGCTCATGTCAGATTGACAGGGGAAATATATCAGCATTTTCTGTTATCTGCCAAATTTATTAGTATAGCACAAGATGTGAATGAAGGTATTCAAAAGTTTTCAATAACTGGTATAATATACTCCTTTCGTTTCAAATCTTACAAGTATACTTGGTGGTATTGAAAATTCTTCTATATTTTTCAGTCCATTTCAAAAAGTGGGTTAGTATATTAGATTTTTTTCCTTCTAAACATCACTCCATTTTTTTCAGTGACAAAATTATGGATCGAAGATATGCATGATGGGTTTGAATTTTGGATGTATGTTGGTTACAATTCTTTCCATAAATATCAGTAGATGATTCAGGTACTACTATAGGTATAATTTTCATAAATTTATTATGTCATCGTTTTCTGATGATCGAAGGCAATAGTATATCATTGAAAGATCACAACTATATGAAGTTTGCAGAATCATGACCGTATATGTGAATGCTGCAAATTAATTTACAAGTGGAAAATTAGCGTTGAAAAGGAATATTCTCAGATAAATCATGAACATATAAAAATGGATATATATTTATATAAAGCAATACATTGAGAATTCGCATTCTCTATGTGATGGGAATATTTACTCTTTTTCAGTTAATTCAATAGAAAACAACTACTTTCCTGGCTATATGCCACGACGAACATTGAATTATATCTATTGAACACACACGATAAGAGTTTGAAAATAAAATATAAAAATTTCTGAAATTGTAGTTGTTTTCTATTGAATTAACTGAAAAAGAGTAAATATTCTCATCACATAGAGAATGCGAATTCTCAATGTATTGCTTTATATAAATATATATCCATTTTTATATGTTCATGATTTATCTGAGAATATTCCTTTTCAACACTTTCATACCCAATCAGGGGCTTCAAACTTGAACGATGGAAACTTGTGATTTTTATAGACCTCTAATCGCAGATTCGTGATAGAGTCTCAATTCAGAATTCATTTCCACGCCCTGTATGATGAATGTCAATTTATCATACACCCAAAAGCAATGGAAAATTAGCATTTCGTGAGAGATATACACCATAATATACATTTTTCACGCAGCTCTATAGCATAGCATATTAGCGAAATAATTCAACAATAGAGAAAACAAGGAATCCAAATTTATATTATCATTCAAAATCTCTATTTATATTTGAAATATTGATGGAATATCGAATAACTGAGTATAAAGATATTTATTATTTCTAGAAGTTTTGAAATGAAAATGTAATTATCCACAATGTTCATAGTTTGTACATATTACTGTGGAATCACTTTCGCTCCTCATCATATAATACGTTTTCATCATCATCAGTATAGAATTAGGAAAGATAACCGTAGAAAAAATATACCATACAACTCTAGTGGATTATCCATGTCGTTCTCAAATAATCGAGAACTCCTCCTTCGAACTTCGTTTTCGTGCGATGGACCACATGTTCACTCTTGTTGTAGTAACTAAGTATTATATTTTGCTTGCGATATTTTTAAAACAGCCTGTGAGTATTTATTTTTCTCTATTAGTTTTTCTGCTTCTAACATAAATAACACAAAAGCAGACATAATAATTCCTACTGGTAGAGCTCCTATATACTTCTTAATTCATTAATTTATTTTATTGCAGTAAACGGAGCGCCATATTTCTCACAGTATTATATACATGAAGCCATCGTTAATCAAAGTTGCGTTATACGTTCCTAGTGAAATAGAGAATGTATTTTTTGCGAGCCGTGAGCTTCCATAGCACATTCCCGGCATCTGCTTCATTTCATTTATAATTGCATTTGCGTGAATTCCATTCGAGAAAATTACCCTAAGTAAGAGATAATGCAGATAACCGAGTGCGGCAAATCAAGTTAGACATGCCTTACTTGATAACAATGGAAGGTGAAACCAGAGAAATTCATACAGATATAATCAAAACTGATGGAAATTGAGTGGCTTTTAGAATCCACTGCAGCTTTATAAAAAAGCCTCGCACAAATCTGAACACTGTTTAGAAAAGCCACTACCTCGGCCACTACAGCACATTCACATTATATCTATTAGGTAGCTCACTAAAATTAGTTCTGTATAAATATTCAATTCTCCTTGGACCCTGCGTCCATTAGAATGGACGTTTTTAGTGGTTTCATCTGAATATTCAAGAAGAACCCAACAAAATTTATAGTGAGAAAGAAAGTACTTACCTACTTCCCTTGATTTCTTTTGATTTTATTTTGTTTTTGTGATCAAGTACTATTCGTACATAATTATTTCGATGATCAATTGATGTGAAATAGAGAATTAATTTTTTGCGAACCGTGAGCTAAAACTGGTGATGATACACGGAAAAAAAGTTTTGTTGCACCAACAAAATAATTTTGGTCATTTTTTTTTTGTTAAATTAAACACAATTTTGCGAAATCAACAGAATATATGTTCATTTCAAATAAGCAACCTATTCAAAGAGACAAAATAATTTGATTGAAATATTTGCTTGAACAAAAGTTTCATTTCATTCAACAACATTTATGGTTGACATAAAACAAATTTTGTTGATCCAACTATCATCTCATTGTCCAATCAATCATATGCATTTTGTCTATTCGACAAAATAAAATTAATTTTGGCAAAGATTTAACTAAATACAACATCATATTTTGTTGAGTCAACAATCATTTCATTGTGCAACCAATCAAAGGTTTTTTTCTATTCGACAAAATTGAATTGATTATGACAATATTATATTTTGTTGATTCAACACTTCACTATCAAGAAACATGTTGTTATTTCGAAAAAATTACTATGTTGAACATAACCCACAAACATTATATCAAACAAATATTTTGTTGAATGATTATCTAGTTGCATTTTTGCCACCAGGTGGCGTTTCTTCCAACCTTCCTACGCTCGCCTCGATTGGGGTGTATGTACATATACCTACCTAAAACATCCGTTCATATGATTATATGAGGCTTTCCTAGACAGTTTATACAAGCTAATAGTCTTGAATCAACTGAGGGAATTGATCTCTCATTTCTCTTAGTTTTGAAATTCAGTTATTGGATTCTATTCAATATCATTCAGCAAAATATTTTGAATACAATTTGGTTGATCGAAAAATATATATTGTTATTTCACCATATTCACTCTCTGAAAAACTGAAAATTTTGTCACTTGAATGAAATGATATAATCATTTCAATCAACTGAATCGTTCATAAGAGCAGATATTGTATTAAAGGAACAAAATAGTCTTTGTTTATTCAACCAATTCCTGCTGTTAATTTGAATCATTAATGAGTTACATCAAATGAATTTTGAATTGAAAACTGACAAAAAACATTCGTTGCGGTGACAAAATATTCTGTCGTGGAAATATGACACTCAGATTTTGTTGAATTTACAAAAATTTTGTAGTTTCAAACAACTTTTTTTTTTCTGTGTAAAGCTCGATCTCTCCTGATCTAAAGGAGGAATGCATCATCAATATTGGTTTTATTACTGCCACTCAACGATTAGATGACATTTTTATTCGTCCACAAAAAACATCGGAATTCTATCCTAAGCTGAATGATGCCGTCCAGTTCCATATCCTTCAATTTGAATTAGAATCATATCCCTCGCCATACTAGTGTCAGAGATGATGATTGCTAGCTCCGACCACTCAGAAATCCGGACAGCATTGCCCACAGATCGCAGTTGCCACCAAGTTGTTCTGGAACCAGGCCTAATCCGTTTGAAAAATATCGGGAACACTTGTTTCATGAACAGCGTCGTTCAATGCCTGTCTCAAACTGAGTGGTTGTTGGAATATTTGAGGAAAAATGCTCGTATCAATGATTTGAACAAGAGCTCATCCAGCAAGAAGGGGACTTTGATAAAAGCATTTGCAGATGTTATAGAGGAGCTTTGGTCGAACGATTCGTCTGTCCGAGATAGGCTCCTCGCAACAGGATGCACAAGAATTTCTATGTAATCTGCAAGAACAGCTGCACGAGGATGTCAACATGGTCGTAGAGAAACCGAACCCAAACCCAAAGCCAGTACTAATGAAAATCGACAAATCATTGTTGTTGTCGTGGTCGAGATTCTTGAGAATGAACAACAACAACAAATGAAACAGGCAGTTCAAGTCTACTTTGATATGCACCTTTTGTGGCAATTGTTCGGTGACGTTCGACCCATTTTGAGAGTTGTCTTTACCGATACCACATCGATCAGGTCAACTCAGGTTTTCTCATTGCTTGGACCCGTTTACCAGTGTCAAACTTCTAGACGGCGAGGAGAAACCAACTTGCTTGATGTGTTAAAACATGTTTGAAGTCATTATTCATTGATAAGTTCCTCGACATTTTGATTATTCATCTGAAACGTTTTTCGTAGACTGAAGAGTTCAGTGAGAAAATAAAAACAATTGTCGACTTCCCCTTAGTCGTCTTGGACATGAGCCTCTAATCACCTGAAGACATCGTTCCATGTCCTTACAATGTGTACGCTATCTCGAATCATTACAGTACCACCAGCAGCGGACACTACACAGCCTACTACAGACATCTATACGAGTACAATGATTCTCTTGTCTCTTCGATTTCGTCGAATTCTCTCGTCAGTGGGGATGCTTATATTCTTTTTTACCAACAAGAGGCTCACCCCAAATACAAATTCAACTACGGAGTTCAAGACACCTTTAATGGTGACAACAGATCCAAAAAGGAACAACGTGATGGTGACTCAGTGAAGGTCTACTACACCGAAGATAATCCCGATGGCACCCTTCGTACTGTCCACTATTCTTCTGATGACCAGCACGGGTTCAACACAGTCGTGGAGAGGAAAGAAACTGCAATCTATTTAGCTCCAGCTGCACACTCTGCCCCAGTACAGAATGTACAATCTGCCAGAGTACATAATGTATTCTCTGCCCCACTTGTAATGCTGCTTCAGTACGTGCAGCCCAGTATGTGCACACTGCCCCAGCCTTTCATTCTGCCCAAGCTTACTACCACCAGCAACTGCTGTGGAGTTGATGAAATGGAAATCCAAAAAATAATTATTCTGTTATAATTATGAATATTGAATAAAATTTAAAGAATTCGTAAAACCACTTTTTAATGAGATGACATTCGAGTTATGTACATTTGAATGGATATTGGGTATTCCTGGCAATTTCAGAAACATATTGTGACAAGTGATTCTTTATGAAAAATATCAATAAAATATAGGCGTTATTTGGAAAGTTTTGGTCGGGAACGATACTACCGATCAGGTGAATTAGATGAAAGATCACTAGAAGTATTTGACACTGATACTTCTGACATGGATTCTAGGGGGATTCAGGAGACGAAGAGGTGAGCTTGAATGAAGAAGAACAGGAAAATAATTATTCGATATCACATTAGAAGTAACTGACTGGCTTCTTTTTGATGAATATATTGCAAATTCTCGAGCTTTACCCGCAAAAGAGAGGTCACAGACAATACCATTTCCACCATACGTAACACCAAATCAACCAAATCAAAGAAGAAAACGATGCCATCATTTCTAGCTGGTGATTTAAAAAATTTGATTGGGTATGTATAAACCCAAACTGCACAAGAAAAATTGTGAGTGTTCTATTGTGGAAAGTTGATTATGACATTGTTTTTATAAGTACTTTATAAAAAAAAATAATGTTGATGAAGAACCCGTGTACAGACGACAGTTTTTTCAGAATTTTGCGTCAATTCATTATCTGTATTTCTTTTTCATGCATGGTTCTCAACTTATAGCTAGAATTCATGTTGAAATTGTGCAATTTCAAGCTTCGGGTTCCAGGAGGTAGTGCTATCCGAATATTACATAACAGAATCATGCATCAGAGTATAACTTTAAGAAAATATGGAAGGAATTTGAATTATGGCTGTTGCAGGATAAGTGAACCTAGAACAGAATGAAAAAATCAATCAATCAATATATTATTTCATTACGGGAGCCAGGTAGCCGTGCGGACAGAGTGTCAATATTCTAATCCGCATTCGCTTGCCGGTCGTGGGTTCGATTCCCATCGACTGCAGACATTTTTCCGATGGCCCAAGAAAGTGTTTGGGATCACACGTTTTGAAAGGTAAGGCCCCCGTCATTCCTTGCTCGCACAAGACTCTCGAAGACTTCTGAGGGTTGCTCGTAAGGGGGCAACCGAATAGAACAATTTTAGAACAACCATTTTAAAACAATTACATGAGAAATTGATCAAAAGGTTTCGCGATAGAGAAGGAATCCAATAAAGACTCTTTCTCATAACTATCAGTGGATGAAATATTAAAGTTTATCATTTCATGATGTTCCCGACTGTAATGAATGTAATGAAAACAATAATCATATCATTTCCATCGACACAATCCAATAATAAATATTTATAGTGTTCAAGAAGGTTCATAACCATGTACTGTTCGGACAAATATCTGGCGATATTTCATCCTAAGACAGTCCATAAATTCAGCAGAAGAGTTTTTTGCCCAGCACAGAGGTCGTACATCGTCAGATGAATCCTTTAGGGCCCCATAGTCAGGCTACGATATATCAGACACAACGTTCAAATTCAGAAAATCCCCACAAAAAGTGACTGGGAAAATATACATCGGATAAAAAAGGAGATAAATTTCACAAAGAATATTCCCTTACTTATTTCATAAGATTGAAGTCTTTCTATTCTAGAAATGGTCATCAGGTCATTCGATCGTTTGAAATTAATTGGATAACCTGGATTCAAATTTTCGTGAGCTTTTCAATGAGCTAATGCAGGAACGGCGAGTGCATAGGGGCATAAGGGCCAATGCATCCAAGTACACATGCAATGCAATGCACTGACATCCATGTCTACCAATAGGTAGGGAAGTACCAATCTGAGTTTTCGAATTCGTTTTTATTTTCATAACAAATCTAGTGAAAAACGTAATAATGATAGTGAAATATTTATTAATGTACCAAGGACGAAACGCTGTCTATTACAGGCGAGGCGATAGAGGGTTTTTCGCCGAGGAGGTACAGGCATATAAAGGTTTGAAGACGATTCCAACTATAAAACATTTTCAACCTATTAATTTTCGTTTTGTAGTGATTTTTTCATCATATTTCCTCTAATAAATGTTAAATTGGTATAATTAGATTTCTAATGTACAAAACCTTGATGATGCTCCTACCTCCGTTATCTTACATTCTTTAGATAAACAATTTTTGGCCAACTACAAGTACACCGGTTACAACCATATTATACACTGATGCCTCAAAAACACGTTGGTGCTGCAGTTATCATCAATTATAATAGCTACTGCTATACACTACCAAAAAGTTGCAGTATTTACACAGTGGAAGTACTCGCGATTAAACAAGCTTTAAGTGTTGCGAAAGACCTCAATGGTAGCACAGTCATTTTCACAGATTCACTGAGTGCAATAGAAGGCATAAAACAACTATATCCTAAACATCCAATCCTTAAGGAAATATTAAACGTGCGACAGGAAATTCAACGAAGAGGAAGAGTAGTTGAGATTGTCTGGGTACCATCGCATTGCGGCATATTAGGTAATGAGCTAGCAGATACCGCAGCCTGCACCGTTCCAGAAAACCCAACATCTATACAAGTGAATAACATACCACATTCAGATCTATATAACGAGATAAAACGAATAATTAAAGATAAATGGAAGGATAGATGGCGCCTACACAGTCACAACAAACTGTACGAGATCAATCCCAACTTAGAAAACCAACTCTACAGTGGTACAAGCCGCAGAAACCAAATTCTACTCACACGACTCAAAATAGGACACACTCGTCTATCACACCAGCATCTTATGAAGAGAGAACCTCCAGTCCAATGTGAAAATTGTAACGTCCCACAAACCATACGACATATATTATCGGATTGCCCTACACTCGAATACCAAAGGAACCAATGCTATATGTCCAGAAATCTTGCAGAAATGCTGAACAAACAACCAGACCGAGTTATAAAATTCCTAGAAAGAGTGAACTTAACCAAATATTTATAGTAATGTGATTGTGATACATACTGACACTAGGAAAACAAAACGTATAATCTAATATATTCCGATGTATTCAAAAAATGAAATTGATAATTTGTACTGTACCCCGCTAATAACCCTCGAGGTTGATGCGGATATTTCTATAATAAGATAAAAAAAAAATTTTTGGCCAAACAACTTATTTTGGCGACATATATACGCTGTTAAATGCAAAACCTCACTTTCAAATTCACCCTGTATATACTCCTCAGGGTGATTGGCGAGTAATAATTTCACGTCAATGTTGGCAGTCATTTCACGGACAAGAATGGCTTGCAAGACGAAGTAATAAACCATGGAGGGAAGACGATAACACATAGTGATCTCGAATACCAATATGGGCCGTTATTATGTCGCAGTGTTCGATATTTGTCCGGAACAAATACTGCATTATTAGACGATGTTCCTGTGTATTTCAGTTTGAAGGGCGGCAATAAGGGCCTCATTGTTCTAATTATCGAGCGCTGGCGGCTGATAGGAGAAGTTCATGAACATATGGAGTTTCCAATGGAGAAGTTTCCTGTACAATGGATCAAGTAAAATTTCAATATTGAGCGAGGTATACATGGCGCATGACTGTGGATAGAATGGCAACACTCTCAACTGAATTGAGAGATTTTTCAGATTTGATTTCGGGAGGAAGGAATCATCATATGAGCAGTCAAGTTCGTTCATGATTATATTGCAATTTGTAACTTCCATTCACGTGTTTCGAATATTCTCCAATATTTTCTTTTCTCGAATTGATTAGTCATATATTCTCAGTTATGATTCAAAATAATACATATATCTACGCGTGAATATTGAATTTGAGATCCAAAATATCAGATATAAATCAAATTTTTTCAATTCAAACGAGATGTCTCCGTCCCACTTTTCACAATTCAATTTCGAAAAACAAGAAATATGATTGAGTTCAAGATCGAAATACCTGTGTTTTTCAAGAATTAGAATGTTTAAAGAATTCAGTCATCAACTTCTGCATTTTTCGAGTACATTCAGATTTTCTCTAAAAATCGAAATCTACTTCCATGGTAGCATCCGTTCATCTTCTGTGAACTGCCCAGTTTTTTTTATTTCACAAAAAAATATTTTCAGAGGGGAAGAAGTTCAATATTGATTTGCAGCATCCTCACCGGAGAATGCTGAAACTATACGTTTTGAAATTGAAATATGGGCTTATTTTGCTTCATTGAGATTCCACCAATTAATGATTCAGAAAGTATGACTCATTTAAGTATGTAGGGGATACCATATCTTATTCTCCGTGGCACTTGATATCTCCATGGCATTCGATCGATTCTGGCACCACGGACTCCTCGCCAAGCTTCCATCTTATGGCTCGCCTCCCCAGAAATGTTCTCTGCTAGCTAGTTTTCTCTCAAACAGGTCTCTCCATGTAGTGGTCGACGAAGTTTCATCTGACTCTCTTATCATAAATAATAAATAAAAAGCAACTTCATGTCCAATACACAGCTTCGCGGATGATAGTACCCTCCATACCGCCTTCTCTTCCAGGGCTCCAATTCCAGCCAGGCAAATCAGAAACGAACGAGGGAGAAATGTTGACAACATAAATATGGACTTGGCAACACTTCTCGAATGGGGATCCAATAACTTGGTAGATTTCAATGCAAACAAAACACAAGCATGCCTTTTCTTCAGAAAAGCCAATCTCACTGTGCCCAACATAAGCTTGTCAGGAGTAACCATACCTTTGAAGACATCCAATCACGTGAGATCAATTGGCAATAAGGCACAGATCCGACCTATCCTGGAATACTGTTCCATATTTGGAGTGCAGCACCCAAACATACCCTGAAACTGTTGAATTCTATCCAAAAAAAGGGCAATTCGTCCCGTGGGATGCCTCGCTCACAAACTCACTCACTTCTCTGGAACACCGTAAAAAAGTTGGTGAACTGGTTCTATTTCATAGATCATGGACGATGCTCTTCTGAAACTATCAACAATTGTTCCTCCCTTGGCAGTCCCCGCGAGATTATCCCGCCAAGTTGAGGCTTCGCACCCCTTCGTGGTCACTTTGGAGACCTGCAGAACATCTCTTTCCAAAGACTTGTTCATCCAACTAACAGCGATGCTCTGGAACACATTGCCAAGGGAGGTGTTTCCCGAGGCATATAACCTCCAGAAATTCAAGAAGAACAACAATTCCTACCTTATTTTCCTTGGTTCTCACGATGTTCTCTGGGCATAACAGGATATCCCTGATCGTATTGAAACGAAATTATAAGATAATTTCATTTTTCCGGATGAATGTATGTATGATGCCTGTGAGTTGTCCACTTCAAGAACATAAAAAAAATCACATTGAT